TGCGACTCCTTGAGATCCGTCCCAACTCTTTCCCCTGTTGCCTGGGTCCACTATTCTAATACTTACTACCGCTCGGACGGAGTAACACATCTCGACGAGTCACTCTGGACTGAAAACTAGGGTGGTGTTAAACCCCGGGCAAGCCTCGAGGTTAAAAGAAACAGGACTTCCTTCTTTGCCTAGCCACTGGTGACTCCGCTTCCCTCCATCCTGTTCTCCTCGCCAGAAGCGACTGCCGACGTATGCCGTACATCGATTCTTTCCCGGTTTTCAAGAGAGAGAACGCGATATACCTTCTCCTTCTCTATCCGAGAGAATGTCTTCCAGCTACCCAGGCGCTGCTCCGCCTCCCGCGGGCGTCACGCCGGATTTGGAAAACCCGACTGATGTCCTGCGAACCATCATCTTCGTCACCCAGGCATTGACCCTCGTATTCGTCACCTTCTTTGTAAGCTTGCGCATATACACAAAGGCTCGAATCATGAGGAGCCCCAGTACTCTTGACGACAGTGAGTCGACTACCCGTCTTCTCCGATACAACCTCGACCCGAGCTGACCGTGTCGCGTGCACAGTTGCAGCATATACCTCCTTCGTATGGCTTACTCCTGCAACTGAATCCCTCCCTCCCCTCCCCCTGCTCTCCGTGTCGGCCGAAGCTTACACAGCCGTCCTCTGATCAGGCTCTCATGGTTGGGTATTGCATCTCCGCCATCTTTGGTGAGTTCAAGATGCTATATGGCCAATGGCCTGGCAACGACCTGACTTGCCAGAAGGGTACATGCTGACATTCTTGAGTGTTGCAGCTGCGAAGTTTGGCGGCGGCTACAACATGTGGGATATCTCCGTTATGGACGCTCAAGGCTTCTTCAAGGTACGTTAGAGCCTCGACCCTTGCGGCATACCAGCCAAGCATTCTGCTAGGGAAACCGAAAGCGGGAGGATGAGACTGACGAGTAGACGTAGTCTTCTTACGCCGCCACCATCTTTTACGCTCCTATGGCCATGACGGTCAAGCTGTCGCTTCTCCTGATCATCATCCGGGTCTTTGGATCTGTCCACAAGAAGACTCTCATCGGTATATACGTCCTCGTCGGTATCATCGTGGCCTACTATACCACCGGCCTCTTCATCAAGATCTTCATCTGCTGGCCCATCTCGGCCTACTGGAAGGGCGAGACGCAGAAGTGCCTGGACCAGAGTGCCGTCATCACGGCCGACGCCATCATCAGTGTCGTCAGCGATCTGGCCATCCTCTTCCTCCCAACCCCGCTCACCTGGTCTTTGCAGATGCCCCTCAAGAGGCGTATGCGTATCATCGGCATGCTAGCCGGTGGTGGCGTTGCCACCGGCTTCAGCATCTACCGCCTGATCCTCATCGTCGACGATGGCAAGTCTGTCAACCAGAGCATCGTGTTTGCCAAGGTTATCCTGTCAGGGTAAGCCACGTCCCCCCCCCCCCCCCCCCCCCCCCCCCAAACCTGGTCTAGCCCCATCCAGTCTTCATCAGCTGCTGACGAGCTTCAAAGAAACGCCGAGGCTGGTATCGGCCTGATTTGCGCCTGTCTACCCGCCGCCAACGCCATGTTGACCAAGATCAGGGACCCCACATACTTCCTGGGTAATAGCCGGTCCCGCCATGATACCACGGGCAACCGTGGCGAGATCGTCATGACACGCTCTTTCCACATCAACACGTCGGATCGCGACACCAAGGATCCTGGCAACGACATCTACGATCTGGGCCAAGAGGAGGCCGTCCTCACATCCTCGGCCCAGGTGAACCCTCGCAGCAATGGGTCATGCTCCCCAAGTCGATCTGAATCTGTATATTAGGCGGAGAATCTTTGAGGGGGAGACATAGAAGCTTGCTAGAGCAACTCTACCATTCACTGTTTATTTATATCATGACCTGCATAATCAAGCCCGGCTTGTCCCCACCTTAACCGCTCTCTTTTCCGTCACTTTCCATTATGATACTCGTGACAAGGTCGCATTCGCTGACTACTGATTACGGGACGAACCACCGTTTCCCTTTGCATGTCTCCAGTATCTTCCATCCGCGCCACCGTCCCATGATCGTCTCCCGCACAGGACATGTCTTCACGTTTCACGGCAATCTGCGAGACTTCGGCGACAGACTTCTTGATATTGCGCTGCAGCTCAGACGGATAAGTCGAGAGCTAGCGGCGTGAAGGAGATGAGAAGGCAAGGGCACTAGTCATGACAGACGTGTCGAGCCACGCAGGTCTGGGAGGGCATGAAAGAGGAGGACCTGATGAGAAGTGATGAGAAGGGAGGGAGAGGAATAAGATTGATATATACTACGGGTATGCGGCTGACCTTGACACCCCCAGATAACCGTCACGTGCTGTGCAGACAGGGAACGATCAAGCTGATGACAACTCGTGGCTTCCCTGGGCTTGAAACGTGGTTTACCAGATGGCTTTGAGCTGTCCCTCCTGATAACAATGGTCAGTTTACAGACTTGATTTCCCAAGCATTCATGATCTAGACATCCGCGTATGAGCCACAGGGGAGCCCTACGGGACTAAATCTACACCGCGCTTCCTAGATGTACTGGTTTGGATACAAGACTTACAACGACTGAAACGTGTACCGGGGTTCTAATAGAGTAACTGATGCTGGGCGTTCGGGCTAGCCGGTCTCCCTTTATATGTACTCACTTACTCGCTAACGCTCTAGATGAACAATGTCGTCAGATGGCCGCTGCTATTGTTGGGAACACGTGCATGGTTATACGGCATGTTGAAATGAGAGCTCGACATGTCCCAACGCCACCGTCAACTAAGCATTGGGCTACGATGACAAGCGTCACGCTAATCGGATGACCAGGGCAAAGAAGAAGAAAAAAAACTTTGGCGAATATCCAGCCATATGCCATGTTGCTATATACGTACAAGCACCCACATCATTCCACTGCCTACGACGTCCAGGCGAAGTTGACGAGGAGTGGGTTGTGGTCAGACAAGATGTTACCGTCAGGTTGGACAAAGGTGGACGAGGCATAGGTGAAGGAAGTGGCATCGACGGTGACACCGCCTCCGGAGCGGAAGCTGGATATTCCACATCTGATTAGAACCGGCAAGATGGAAGGCAGATGGGGGACGGCACATCGACCACGGGACTTACAAGATCTTGTCGACAACCTCGCAGGTGTTGCTGGCGGCGGGGGTACCGCATGGATCGGCGGCAGCACCGGCCGTAGGGTACACGCCGTTGTTGATGAGCTGGACCCAGACGTCCTCGAAGCCGGCGTCGGTGTACTTGTCGATGCTGCGGGCAGCGTTTGTCCAGCGGTCGTTTGTGTCTCCGCCGATGATGACGGCGCGATCGGCCGAGTTGGCCTCGATGTAATCCAAGACCTGGTCGACACCGGCGGAGCGAGCCTCGGCATCGCCATTCTCGGAGCTGCAGTTATCTCATGTCAGTTCTTCCTTCCTTTCTTCTTCTCTTCTCTCCCTCTTCTTCCATTCATATTCTGACAATCAACCCAGATTTTACATCAAGAATGAGACGGGACATTTGTTATTCCAACTCACCCAGCATCGGCATGGAGGTTGTAGAAGTCAATCTCGATGTCCTCGATCTGCATGCGCATAAAGGTGAAGCCCTTGGGGGTCAGGCAGTCGCCCTCGTCGATGTCGCACTTGTCCCACTTGATGCGCTCGAAGCTGGACCAGCCGTAGTTGGCGACCGTGTTGAGCCCCGAGCCGAACGGGACGCCTCCGGACGTGGCGGTACGGTATGTGTGGTTGTCCGTCCTGTAGATGTAGGCGTGGTAGTTGAAGTCCTCCTGCATGTGGACTACGTCGAAGCCGCCCTCGGCCAGGTGCGTGCCGATGTAGCCGGCGTTGTCCTCCTTGTCGCCGGGTACCTCGTTGCTGTTGAGGATCTCGGGCAGGCCGGCCACGTTGAGGGTCAGAAAGTCAAATGTGCCCGATGAGGCCCGGGCGATGCCGGCCAGTAACGAGGCGGCGGGGAGGTAGCGAAGAATGGCCATTGTGTGTTGACGTGTTGGAACAGAGTGATGAGACGTCTTGCTTAGACTGGATTGAAATTGTTCTTCTTCTTCTTCTTGTAAATCGATTGTCTAAAACTCCTTTACCTTTCACTCTTCCCTGAATGCAAGGGGGGGGGGGATTGCAAGCGATTTTATATCATCGCGGCGATCAAGAGAAAACACGCATCACCCCCCCTCTCCCCCCCTCCTTCTCCCTCCTCTGCCGCCCCCACTTCATGAACCCGTGGCTATGAACGAAACGAGCTGGCCTTATCATCTATAGCCAAGGCTGAGATCCCAGCTTCCCTAATAGGCTTATATCCCTTCTTCCCCTACCGTGCGGAGCGGGGGGCAAGAAACTTGCATGAACCGAGGAAAACACGACGACGGTTTGATTCGCCAATGGCTTCACGTATCAGAGGATTCCTAGATCACTGGAGTCACCTGTCAGGGACAAACCCGATATAGGTGCATAATCTAGAACTGTTGCTACTGCTCTCCTCTACGAATCGTGATGGCATCGGTTCCTGCTTGCGCGCTGTACCGATACAGGAACGGAAACCATGCTATCTCATTGCTAAGCTGATAAGTTGATGTCGTGCCGGGTGATAATGTAGGACTACGGAGCACTCTTGCGAGTGGGTGGGTAAACAAGTCTGGTGCATAACATAATATTATAATCTCCCAAAGCTTGCGAAGACGACCTCATCTCTCTGCCGCTTCGTCCCCACCCCCATCCCCGGTTATTCCAAGCCCCGGTGCGGTGAACGGCGTCGGCATCGTATATGTATCACCATGGGCAGACGAATCTGTAACGATATAAGGGAACCACAAAATGTCTTGCCATTTGCGCACACGCTGCCTATTCCGCGTTTGGTAGCTCGGCTATGGCGGTGCCGTTTTCAATTATACCCGCCCGGCGCAGATATGAGAAAGATGCTGAACAAGGGCAACAAGGCCGCGCTGCGCCATATAATACCAAGGTCATGTGCTTAAATATTGATTGATATATAATATTATTATTACATACATTGCCCCGAGATCCCTGCTTCCATGTCCTTCTTCCAAATCATAGTCGTACATTGAATGTGATGATAAAACATCACCCTATGCCTCTTGCATAATATGCATCGTCGCTAGTCAAATAATGCCATTCAAAAGAAGAGAACACCGAGCGGTACCGAACCCCATCGAGCGCTATGCGATGCACGTCAAATCAGCTGGCATCGCATGTCTCTCCAACTTTGGGTGTGTAGGAATGCACTCCCTCTATGCAGTCGTATGTCGTTTCTTTTCATCTTCTCCGCGTCCTGCCCTGTCTGGCCGACACGTGGCGCAGATCACTCGTGATGTTCGGGTGACGTTTACCGTAGCATGTAGGACAAGTCGGGCAGGCTATCGATGACCTTGGCGACGGTCTCCTCGGCATCGTGGTACGAGTCGGCGTCGTCTGCTATTTCCGTCGTCCCGGCAGGTGAGTTGGATGTTGTGAGAGACACGGCGCCTGAAGATATCGGCTCTGGAGCATCATCGTCGTAACCAGCCGATGCGGATGCAGCCTTGGATGGTGCCTCCTCGTCCCACTGCCAGGCAGACTCGTCAAGCACGGAAGCCTCGATAGATGGCACCGACACCGGCACCGACGCCGGCACCGGCACCGGGTCCGTGTCTCTTGGCGACGTCGGCGCATCGAACGCTGACCCCACGTGCTCCTCCTCCTCCTTCTCCTCATCCACATGCGTCCTGGTCTCCGATCCTTCAGCAGTCTCGGGCTGCGTCCAGGCGTCAAATGCAGCCGCGGCGTTTGCTGGGCCGTCTACTGCGGGAGAAGAGACCATCTCACCCCAGTCGTCTTCGTCATCTCCGTCGTCGTCTCGCCGAGGAGCTGCGGCAGGCTTCTCTGGCGGTGATGGCGGTGGGATCATCCTGAGAGAGGGCAGGAAAGCCGATGCAGGTCTCTCCCTCGGCTCGTCGGCAAGAGGCGACGGCGTCTTTGAGGAGTGCCCGATGACAGAGTGCGGTCGCCCCGCCGCCGCCGCTGCCGCCGCCGCCGAACCTTGCTTGCTGCTGGACCTCTGCAGCAGCAGCTTGCCGATCTCGACCTGCGGTGCCGACGAGTCCCAGTTGAACATGGCGGCGCCGACGGTGCCGTCCTGCCTGCCCTTGGCGCCGCCGCCCAGCACGGTGCGGCCGGCGATGCTGTCCTCCTCCATCCAGCGCCTGACGGTCTTGAGTGTCGTCTTGCGCACGGCCGAGGAATGCGCCCAGTCTATGCGCACGTAGTGGTCGTCGTCCAGGCCGAGGTTGTGCTTGCGCATCGTGCCGAAGCGTGATAGACGCTGCCACGCCCTGCGCTCCGAGCCGGTGCCGAACCCGTCGGCCGTGGTCTTGTCGGCCAAGACTTCCGGGACGGCGGCGGAGGTGACGTCTGTGTCTGACGCGAGCGGGAAGAGCTCGTCCAGCGCAGACGGCGGTGTCTCCGTCGTCGCCGTCGCCGTCGTCGCCGCCCCGACGAGCTCCTGCCTCTCGGAGTCGTCCCGCAGAGCTGCTGCAGCTGAGACGGGGGGGGTCCGCTCTGCTATGCCGTCGTGCGCGTCCACCTTGTCCTGCACCGCGGATACATGTCTCGCCGGCGTGGGTGGTGCGACGGGCAGCGACGTCTCTGGTGTTTCGGGCCGGGTCGGTACCGTCTCGACGGCCATCGGCGGCCGCTCCCCTTCCGCTTCGGAGATTTCGTCGCCGTCGTGTGTAGGTAGGCTGGCGTCGGCGAGGGCGAGGTTCACACTCGACCCATCCCACCCGGCCGGAGACGCAGCCGTCGTGACCGGTCTTAGCTCCGGACTCCGTCCCCATCCAGGACTGCTACTCGCATCGTTCCACCGGTCCCACGTGTCATCGGCGCCGCTGTTATCCGTGCCGCTCGGCCAGAGACGTGTGGTGCGTGGTTGCAGTCCGTCCGCGGCGTCATCGTCGTGGGACTCTGGGTTGATTGTGTCGTCAATGTCGGAGATGCCAATCGCCGATAGGGGTAACGTCGTAGGCGGCGGCGGTGGTGGCACGACGTTTATCTGCAGTGCTGGCTGTGCATTGTCGTCAGTGATAGCCCACGGGGAACCCCAGGGATCTTGCATCCCGACCGCATATCGCGATGGGTGTCTTGCGTGTGATGTGTTGTGTGTGAGGGCGTTGTAGGGGTAGGGTACGGACAGACAGTGCGAGTGCTCGGTGTGTTAAGAGGGTCAATTGGAGAGAAAAAGAAGAAGAGAGAAAAAAACGTCGGAGCGTTGGTCTTGGCCGGGGCTCCGTAATATTATTACCCGGTATAGATGGAGTGTGCATAATAGGAAATTGCTGATAATAATACATCATACATTATAGTACACGGGAATTCAGAGGTCTCGTATCTCATTATTCGCCTTCCTTTCTTTTTCAACTCTCTCCTCTCCCTTGTGGGGTTGGCTTTGTATTGAGATTCGCATGGCTTCTATTGCTCTCCATTCATTGCCACCAACACACCAGCATGGTTGGATAGATGAAGAGCCAGAGTGTCGACCAGAATGACCCGGGTCTTCTGAATATACATCTACGACCTATGCATGCTGCGAGTACGAGTCATACATGTAAGAGAATGGCCGATTGGTAATTACTTATATCTCCGGATAAGAAGTCAGGACTGTTGTCCAACAGCACGTGTACGGATGTTGGAAAATATCATCACCGAATAAGCAGATAGAGGAACGCATATAATCATATCTACTATAGAACCGACATTCTCGATATCCCTCGATAACACGCAGACATGCCTATCAAGGTTGTGAATATAATGAATAGAATAATGAATAAGATATCAAAACGCCATCGCTTCATGTTTCATATCATATCCCCCCCCCCCCTCCCTAAAGGAAAAAACCTCCCAATCCCTGCTTCACTTGTCTGAACAAGAAAAGGCAAAATCTACCGAACAGAGTATTTACTACGCCAAAACATACAAAGACGTCACCTCGTTCGTCAAGTCATGTAGAAATCTCGTGTCCCGACTTCAATGACCACTCCTTGAGCCTTCCAGTTCCCTTCTTCTCGGCAATCTGCTCAATCGTATTCTTCACCTCGGTCCGGGACGCATTGTCCCTGAACTTCTGAAAGATGAAATCGATGATGCCAATCTTCGACAAGGTCCTGTTGTCGACAATGGCCCTCTTCACGTCGTCGAGGATCTCGGCTTTGACCATCTTCGTCGGTGTCGCCGCACCGTCGCTGGCGTTACCACCCAAGGCTGCAAACGCATTTGCTGGTGCTGCCGGCGCTGGTGGCGGCGCCATGTTGGATGTGCTGTTGGCGGCGTTGCTGTTTGCCGCCTTGGGCTCCGGTTCCCAGTATGCGCCTGACCAGGGATCTAGACCTTGTCGATTGTCGTATTCTGTCGTCACCGTCAGTCGCCCGCCTCGTGAACCATCAGAAGAGTTTGTGGGGGGGGGGGGGGAAGGAGAGGAATAAGAGAGATAAACACACCTAGCATCATCTCCATCTTGTGATTATACACAATCTCGTTGGGCCCCTTCCGATTCTCATCCTCAAAGCAGATGCCCGTGCAGTCTGGCTCCATGGCATTCATCATCGCGCGCCCGGCGTGGCCCAGATCCTCGGAGTCGTCCAAGAACCCATCCATGTCGTCTTCGTCGTCAATCTCCTCCTCGTCATCGTCGACGTCCAGATCCTCGCCTTCTTCCTCCTGCCACTCCGCCTCCGAGTCATAGTCGTACTCGACAGGCATGCTGCGGCCCGTCGGCCGCCTCGCCAGTCTCCTCATGTGTGCCTTACCCAGGGCAAAGGGCTTCAGCGTCACGGTGCCGTAGTAAGGGGGGCGGACGTCCTCGGAGAAGCATATGACCTTGACGGGGATCCTGGCCAGCTTCTTGCGGGCAACCTGCATGGCCTTTCCGGCCGGCTCGGTGGTGCCAGAATTACTCTGCAGATGCTTATAGGCCTCTTCCATGATGTTCTTGACGGGGTGGTGTAGCTTGCCCCTCGGAGGCAGACCGCGTGACAGGGATAGGAGATCGATGGGGTCGAATGGGGCGGACTCGTCGTGTGTGCGTTCGCCGCCAATGTACTCGTCCAGAGATGATGACCTGATGCCGTCCGCGTCGGTTGCTGGCGGGACCCACGTCGTATGATCCTTGACGAAGAAGGGCTGGAACATCCTGCGGTAGATGACACCTCCACAGGGTGCTGTCGAGTCTGCTGTCGAGGTTCCGTTGTCCTTCTTCGGCGATGCCGTCTGGATGGTCACCACGGACGACTTCTTGGGCGATTGCTGAGGCTTGAAGAAGAAGTTGTTGAGCTTGGGCTGGAGACGCTCTTTTCTGACCCTGGCCTCCTCCATCGCTCGCTGCTCCTCCTCCTTCTTGCGTTTCTTCTTCTCGCGATCCTGCGCCTTGGCCCGGTCCTCTTCTTCCTTCTTCTTGCGCTTCTCCTCACGTTCCTTTTCCCGTGCTTGTCGTTCTTCCTCCTTCTCCTTCTTCTTCTCGGCCGCCTCCTTTTCGCGCTCCTCGCGATCTTTGGCACGGGCCTGTCTCTCGTCTTCCTTTGCCTTCTTCTTTTCCGCCGCTTCCGCCGGTGTGAGGCGCTTCTTCCTTGGACGCTGCGCGGTGGCTGCGGCCGTTGCCGTCGCCGTTTCCGACAATGTGCGCTCCGCCACCACGTCCGCAGCTGTCTCTTGTTCGCCGGGCTGGGGTTCCATCGGCGTGTGCGGCGAGGATGCCTCGTGTGCGGGTGTGCCTTTGGTCGGGGAAGGTGATGCCTGAGGTGTTGGGTCGAGGTGTGCGGTTGATGGTGCAAGGGCTGAGTTGGGTGTCAATTCGGAGGACATCATCATCTCGTCACGGTCGTGCGTCGTATACTCACGTGCTTCTAGGGACGCATTTGACGGCAGCATCGCGCCACCCCCAGATTTCGCGTCCAGCGCGTACTCCTCATGACAGCGTTTCCGACCGGCCGAATCCGACTCTCGGATGTTTGAGGACATCTCTGCCAGGGGTGGAACCTCCTTCATCGGCACGCCCTCTATCGGGTGAATGATGAGTCCTGGTCGTGGCACCCCGTCGCCGTGTGGGCGGTGATGAGAGATGAATCTTCTCCGACCGGGGGGGTCGGTCAATTAAGTTGCTGCACGATCAGACGGGTGAGAAGTCGCAGCAGAGTTTATTAGCCCCGAAATGGCACATCGAACAGGTTGGTCCGAAGATACGAAGACTATCTTCCGTGGAGGATTGTGGCGGTACAGGGCTTGTCGATCCAAGTCATGCGCGGTATCCAGGGAGTGGATGGCGAGAGTTGAGATGACGGAGTCGTGGACATTGGGCGGAGGAGAGGAGAAAGCGTCGACCATGACGCCTAGACGCGTGCAACCGCGTTAATTTGGCGTAACCAATCTGGCGGTCGCGCCCACAGTTTAGAAGACCTCTAGACTCGTGCGCCACATGCGTGCGCCTGCAAGACGTGGCTTGCTCGCCCTGCCCGTACGGCGTGTCTACAGTGAGAACCCCCACCGTTAAGGCCGGTGTGACCCGCCCCCGGGCCCATACGTAGTGGCTTGGCCCTCGTCACTGCTGTGGCCGCGCCAGTACGGCGTACAATGCATTGTCTGTAGGCTATATCATAGCGGCTCATCATTACTAAGGGAGGTGGACACCAGTGGCAGTGCAGCAGTTGGGCTGGTCCTGGCGCAGGAACACAGACCTCGGACCCGTTGGACCCTTATTACAGTCTCGTATAACGACATGACCCTGACGATGCCAAGTCCTTAAGCCGACAGAAAGAAGGAGAGGGACCTGACGCCAGCCGGATGGCGACAATGCGCCGTGACGCAGATCTGTCGGTCCACTACCCAAGAATCGGACGGAAATGTTTTGCCGCAAACGGGCGGAGTAGGGAAAGGAAGGGATGTGATGGGGAGGAAAGGACCTTCCGAGAGCGTAGATGGACGTCCACCGGTTCCTCCTTATCCTTCCGAGCCACCAGCACTCAAGACATACGGGGGGATACGAGATCGGCGGGCGCTTAATCCGACATGCAGCGTCACAGACATGGGTATCTTCAACACCGGGACGCATGAATCAGGAGAGAAGCTCGTATATTGATATTTCTTGTCTTTGCTCTGCTCATAGAGTAAGTTGGTAGTAGTATCGACCCGCACCCGTGTCCAGCAACATTTGATGGGGGTCATCATTATCCTGACATGTAGACCGCATGTCCCTCTGTTATCTCCAAAGTAATTACCACAGATGGCAGCCGGGCTAGCAAGGTGCTGAGAGAGATACGTGCAGTCGACGTACACGTACACCCCTCTCGGGCCATGGTGAGTCCCGCTGCGACTGGTCTACCTGTCGTGCCAGCAGAAATAGAAGTCAAACAAGGGCGGAGAAGAAGTGAGAGATCAAAGATTGACTGGGAAAAACAGATAACGCCACCCAATGCCTCTCTGAGCAAGGAAAAATTGATGGAGAACAGGTGACAAAAACGAGTGTCCTAGAGAATAGGCCCAATGCTCCGAGGGTTGTTGTTGTTGTTGTTGTTGTTGTTGTTGTTGTTGTTGTTGTTGTGTGTTGTTGTGTGTGTGCATGTGCATGTGTATGTGTATATGTGAAATGGGTTGCCGCTCAGTCGGGGTTGGCAATGTAGAGACGCTGGGAGGTAAGCGTAGCGGTCCTCTCATCGACACTGCCGCGTCGTCTGAGCTCCTCGGGATTCTTGACGCTCTTCTCGCGCGTGAGAGCCGAGTGGAGGAGCGAGTTGCTCGCCAGTCGGGGCGCACCGCCCAGCTCGGCCACGTTGTCGGCCTTCTCGCCATCGCTGTTGGCGCTGTGGGTGCTGCGGGTCTCGCTCCTCGACGCGGCCACGGCCACGGCGTCCTCGTCGACGAACTGGCCCGGGCCGTGGAGCTGAGCCTGGCTGTCGGACATGCTGCCGGGGCGCGAGGGGGTGTCGGCCCAGCGCTGGCTGTTGCGGGACGTCATGCTGCCGTGGCCGCCCGAGGTGCGGTAGCTGTTGTTGGGACCGGAGCCGCTGACGCCGCGCATGCCGCTGGCCTGGCTGCTGCGGCTGCTGCCGGTGCTGCGATGCTGCAGGCGCGACGCGGAGGGGAGGTTGCTCTCGTCGTCGCTGCTCTCGGCCTCGACCTCGGTGGCGCTGAGGCGGAGGGGCACGCCGCCGACGCCGACGTGGTTCTCGCCGGGGGTGAGGCCGACGACGGGCGACTTGCCGTGGTGGCGGATCTTGGCGGCCACCTTGCCGGTGGCGCTGATGCCGGTGTTGCTGCGGCTCCCGGGCTTGAGGGAGGCGCGGGACCGGCCGCCCGACACCTCCTGGTTGGCGCGCTGGCGGGCGGCGCGCTGCTGGGCCGCCAGGCGGGGGTCCTCGTACTGGGCGCGGTCGCACCACACGGTGGCCTTCTGCTTGCGGAGCAGGGCGACGTAGCCCGAGGGTTGGGGGGAGCCGCCGGAGCGGCTGGACGTGGATCGGCGGAGGTCCGAGACGGACGAGTTGCGGTACGCGGCCGGAGGGGGGATGCTGGACGCGGTGCTGAAGGTGTTTACGGAGGGGGAGCGGCGCGACTGCGGGTTGAAGTGCTGGGGGTGGGCGAGGTGGTTCTGCGATGGGGAGACGCCGTGCGCTGCGCCGACGCCGCCCGAGGGATTGCTGTACACTGCGGAATGGCGAGAGGAGCTGGTGGGACGGCCGTAGACGTTGGCCTGGTCAACAGGTTTTCGTCGTATGGCCGGTTCGAGCATGGCGGGCAGAGACGCGCAATGACAGCCCTCTGGCCAAGCTCGGCGGGTGGCGGGTGGGTTGGGTGCTGTATCGCTTAGCGGTCTGCGAGGGAAGAGTGGGAGAGGATGAGGTTTTGTTGGTTGGGCGAGATATGGAGGGAAAAGAAAAAAGAAGAAAAAAAAGAAGAAAAAAAAGTGAGTTGATTATATATGCAAGGTTGTTGATCAACTAGCACGGTTGGGCTGTTGATGGTGCAAGGGACATGACCTGAGGCAACGCGAGAGGGGCACGGCAACGAATGGGGAGGGGGGGCAGTCGGGAGATTCGATGAGGGTGGTTAATCGTACGAGAAGAGAGAGGGCGTACAGGAAGGAATGGCGACGCACGCCGTCCAGGGTGGTTTATTCTGGAGGTGGAAGGAAGGTAGACAGGAGAGAAGAGAGTACGAGAGAGATGGAGGAGGGGAGGGGAGGATGCGAGGGAGGAAATAAAGAAAATGGAGGAGAGGGAGAGAAAGGAAAGCGGTGGTGAGACTTCTCCGGGTCCAACGTTGCAACGAATGGGGCCTGGCCAAGGTACGGATGGGCACAGGTATTAGGTTCTTTTTTTTCTTTCTTCTTCCTCTTTCCCTCCCCCCCCCCCCGGTTCACTGCTAGTAAGGTACTGACTACGGAGTAGTACGAGTACAGCTCGCAGTGACGAATATGTACGAGTACCCCGTGGAGACAGATCCCATGGCATGGCCCCCAGTTACGGGTTACGGGTACGAGGTGCGCGTGCCATCAGGCGGGGGGGGGAGGGGGTGCGATATAGGTACAGGCCTGGGCTACTATGGATGACAGGGTGCACGTGCTCTGTATGTACTCGTACAGGTGCGACGATGCTGCGAGTGCGCTGTAGCAGTGCGCTGCCATTCTGCCGCCCACCTGCCCGGCCCTTACAGAGAGCACTGAACGTATTGACGGTGATACATCTCCTGTGTAATCTGCACTACCACCAGCAGTAGATAGATAGCCTCACCACTCATCACTACCTGATCCGCACTGCTCGTACGGTAGAGAGTGCACTAAGAATCACTACGGCACAGCTGACAGCTGGTACGCTGCCAACTGGCAAACAACCCGCGCAGTTCCAGATGGCGCCAACTGGCGTCGGTATTATTCCATGGACCGTAGATGGGCGCCTCTAGTGGCTGGAGGTGGGTACATGACCCGCTATAAACCAAGCCGCTAAAACGACTTGCTTGCCTTGCCAGGGCTAATGGCAAATGGCAATCCATGGCGGCTACTTGTCTAGCCACCCCCCAGCTGAAGGTGCGGCGAGTCGGCGACTGGAGTCTGAGGGACATCGACTGAGTACTAACCTACGAGTACGGAGTAATATTACATCACGGGTTATAGCGTCATAGTAATAAATGTTAATGTATGCAGCCTACAGAGTAATGCTCGTGCACAGCAATAGGTTGCCAGACCATGTGCCGGGATGAACCAATCAGATGATGCACAGCAGAGCTCATAACCACGAGTTTGTTTGATGTAATGTTCCGTCAAGAAGCTCTAAGCTATCACGAGTAGCGCCGGACAGGCCATCAACAGACCATATGTTGGTGCGTGTGTGCGTGCGTGCGTGCGTGCGTGCGTGCGTGCGTGTGTCTTCGCATCTTCTTGGCCGACGCACCGTTTGCTTGCTTGCTTGCTTGCTTGTTTTTTTCCTGATTTTTTTTTCTCCACGAGAAAACTTTATTTCTCGCTCTCCCGCCCTCTGATGTTCATCTACCGGTGGAGGACGCAGAGGCAGAGACAGACAGAATGCCCGATGGGAGAAGGGCGAAGGGAGGAGGGGGCGGGTGGACGGGAACCAGCTCCACCACCAATGCACGTCTCGCTCACAGGCATCGCATGTCAGACAGGCAGAGAGAGGGAGAGCCTCCGTTTGACCCTTACGAAAACGGCCATGGTACAATCCTCCCAGCATCTCTGCAGGTTGGAGTTGGTATATGCACGGCCATGCGAACGCAGAGTCACGGATTCCCCCGACTCGTACGACGACGTAGCATCACCAACAATGGTCGTGCACAGCATGGAGAAGGACGCGATCACGTTGCAGCACGGTAGCATTGTAGGCGGGGAGGAGGGCCGATTACGGGATGAGAAAGAGAAGGAAGAGAAGGAAGGAAGAGAAGGAAGGAGAAGAAGAGTGCCGTGCGGCATTATCACCGCACTTTCCATGTATAACAGCTGATGACTAGGTGGGATTTATTGCTGCGGGCATGATATCAACTCAGTCCTAAATGGCGCTGGGCTGGTCTGTCGCTTTTTTTTTTTTTTTTTTTTTTTTTCATTCGTCCCATTCTTCTTCTATTTCGTGCTATACATGTAATATGGAGTAGAGCTCCAATTATTCCCGCTGCGTGGTGCTAAGTGCCATCTTTAACGAGAAGGGAAAGTGCGAGTAGGTAGTAATTAGTCATACGGTAGTATTACTGTATGGTTGTTATTATTATTACGATTTTATCTTACTATATGGCAATAGTGTTATAACGACGTAATTCCTAGTAGGGGAAGGAGCAAACCTTGCTTTGCTGGCTGGCGCCTTCCCCAATTCTACTGCCGAGAATTAGTCGTCGTCATTCTTAAAGAGGATGATGGGATGAATGAGAGAGAGAGTGGGAGAGAGAGCGAATGAGAGAGAGAGAGCGAGAGAGAGCGCGCGCGCGCGCGAGAGAGAGAGAGAGAGAGAGAGGGATGGAATAGAATTATATTAGTAAGAGAGAGAGAGAGAAAATAGGAGGGAAAAAAAACCAAAAAACCAACACTCATCAACACAAACTCAGCACCAGACACGATAATTGATACTCTGATCGCGTGTATAATAAAAATAATACAGCATGCTTAACGCTCGTACGACTTTTCTTCTTTCTATTCGACGCCTGCTGTTATTACTACGTACAAGTACATGTCCTTTCGCACGTGCATTGTCACTCTGTCTTGGCCTTTTCTTAGCGTTTTGCCTTTTTTTTTTTCTTCTCTTTTTTTTCTTCTCTTTTTTTTCTTCTCTTTTTTTTCTTCTCTTCTTTTTTTCTTTCCCTTCAAATCCACCCCTACCACACCCCCCCCCCCCCCCCCCCCCCCCCCCCCCCCCCCCCGGCCACCCGTTGGCATCCGAGTCTTTCCATTACCACTGGTAATACATGCATGTATTGGGAGTACAGCTACTACCGTAATACTACGGAATACGGAGCAGTCGAATACCTCGCTACTCGTGATATCGGCACGTGCAGGTTACAGAGCAGCAGTATTATCACCAAGTTTCCAGATGTCGATGCAACAACGCGGAATGATATGCACTTCTTCTCCATCCCCGCAGTGCGATGCATGTACATACATGTACTATGCCGCTACTCCTGATACTTCTGCACGCCGCAACCTCCTCCGACCCACCCAAGAGCAAGGGCTTCCTCCTTTTCACCCCATGCGGAATCACCCGTGCGTGCCAGGGCCACTCTAAACAGTGAACGTTGACTTGGGAGTTTTACAAACATCGAGGAGCTCAACAATCCGGCCCAACCCTAGCGTATGGCTGTTGTCGTAGCTATCGTCCCGAGCTGACTCTCGATCATCAATGGTCTTTTTAGAATATTTTATTTATGTTAAATTTTTTTTTTTAGAAAAAAAAATCCGATTCACCCATCTCGACCTGCGTCATGAAAGTTGGGCTCTTCTCTCCCTCCCACCCGAATATCACTATATAACTCCGTACTCACGTCGCAGTGACGCTCTACGTGTACGTCTCTCTCTTTCCCGTCCGGTGCTGCCGCTAGAGTCGACTGCTTGTGCTCCGTATACTCTGTGCTCTGTAACCTGTACCATGTACTATTACATATCACTACAACTAAACATACACACACACACATTCTGCATATCAGTACTTACTTATATTTGATAGTCGATATTTCCTCGTTTTCATTAATTCCATCCCCCCCCCCCCTTTCTTAAGCACAAAAGCGTGCACAGAGCAGCAGAAACAAACGATCCCGGTAATCCTGCCCTGTCCTGTACTGCTCCATCACCTGCATAATGGGCCCGGAGTCCCCGTATTTTCCTAGTCATGAAATCGAGATCGTCCATTGTTACTCCGTACGGAAGCATGAGTCATTCGGGCTCAGTTCAATCCAATTCGATTCAACGGCCCTTCCAGATGTACACAGAGCAATTGAACCAGAAGAGACGGTTCAACCCTAACTGACGACGCACAAGAGCCTCAAGGGATCGGATATGGGATCATTACCATCCACGTCGGCCGCGTGTACGCAACCTCGGAGGCCAACCCGATCAACCCGATCAACCAGATCAGGACGATCAGGACGAACTCGAAGGGAACGGCCGGCCGCCATCATCAGCGTTCTAGGCCTGGCCCAGCGCCAGCCCATCGGCACACGTAACGCGGCCCGCACGGATCGAGATCAGGCCGCGACACCACAAGACGTCGTGGTGTATTATGCCCTACAGCTGCGACGACTAAGGTCAATAGCCTAGTCGCGTACAGATTACGTCGTACGAGTATTGTGTGTGACATCGACAGACACCGATGCGTGTACGTGTAGTGCAGCCATGCGTAATCTGTAGGAGTGACAATCATCATCATCATCATCATCATTACTGTTACAGACGTTAGTAGTGTAGCTACGCACCGCTCGTACAGGAGGGGTAATATTGATCTGTACACATGTACGGCTCAGTTACCCGTACACCTTCACCCGGTGCTGACAAGCTCTCCAGAGCCCAGAGCTCTTTGCATTCGACAGAGTCCACCAACTTGGCATCCATCTCGTGCACCCGCACATGCAACCGATCAGTTGCGTCAGCAAGAGAGACAGCAAGGCAAGGAGGGCTGTGCCGTCCCGGGGCCATGTGCCGTCCGGGCCGTGTACCTTTCAGGGGAAGTCTGGGCTTGCCATCATGGTAGCCAGGTTCGTCCACTCGATGTCTGATGCGTCGTCGGCCCGTCGTCCTAGTCGGCTGTCTTTTCCCGACGGACCGGTCTTGTACGTGGTCATCATACTCGGCACACTCTCCGTACTAGGCAGGCGTCGATGCAACTTATAGATGTAGGAGACCGACCGCGCGCCACGTCCCACGTACTAATTCATACCCGCTTCGGTCAACTCGTCGGTCACGGTCTAGTCAGGCCCAGGAGGAGGAATCGTAACCTGCAGTGACATTGGCCATCTTGTCCAACTACATTCCGTCAACCTGTAATAAATACTACGGCCATCCTATCGATCATATCATGTTCCCCTCGTCTAGGCCGCCATAATCTCTACACGCCAAGAGGGTTTTCTTCTTTTTTTTTTTTCCAATTTGTGTTAACGGGCACGGCCCTGATCTGTCTCTCTTTTTTCAATCTTGGCAAACTACTTCTGATAATGCTCTTCTTTCTTCCCGCCTTGGTTGCACCACACCACCATCACCACCATCCATCCATCTCTCCGTCTAACCCAGCCAGTCATCGACATCTGCTATCGAGTGCACACTCCCAACACCAGTATGCTGACTATCTGGAAACGGTCTCTGCCACGTTTTGGCATTTTCATGAATCATCGATATGGTAAGGACGACCCTGATACCCGGAAGCCATAGACGAACAAATCACGATTCCGCGCGCGAGGCATCCTTGAGAGGACTGGCTGCCAGTAGTCCCTTCTTTTTACTCTCGACCTCATGCATTTGACAACATTCTCAGACAATGCACCTCTCTGACTGACAGCAGCACATGTACAAACACACACACAACAGGTAGGGAGCATCATCTCCGACAACTGGACCGACATCATCGTCCTGCCCCTACCCCAGATCCTAACGTCATTCCTGTCTCCTACCCCTGTCAATCTGACGTCCTCACCTGAAGTTGCGCCAGACGTAATATATGCAATAGCTGCTTGATATTAAGACGGATGAGCTGTCCCCCCTTCAAGGCGCCTTTTTTTTCTCTCTTCTTCTTTTCCTCCCAAGACTCTGATCTCGATCCCTCCTACCCGCACCCCCCTTCCCCCTTCCCTTCTTGTCTAGTCCCAAGAAGTAAAATCCGCCGTGTTCTCTTACTGGGTACAACCGGCTCTGAGCGCATAAAAATACGTCACAGGCATCCCCCCCCCCCCCCCCCCCCTATTACCCTATGGTAGCCAGCGGGTGGAATCTATATGAGGACACGAGAGACCAAATATGCAATATCGAGAAGTGCATTAACTTGTTACCGAATTCCATATACATGTATTACCTGTAACTCCATTTCGTATCTGCTTCTCAGGACGAGGTCTGTACGTCATTCCGCAGGTTGGGTTCCGCTCGACTAGTAGTAGATTGATCAGATCGGGGTTCGTGTGAAGCTGCTATTCCATCTCTAGATCAAAGCCGCAGAGGAGATCCGGAAAGAACAAGTCATCCCCCATAGGTGGAGCTTCACACCGGTCCGAAGCCAGGTCGGAAAACGGGGCGATTCCGAACCCGCCATATTGATGATGTGGATCGATAGTAGACTGCGCAGCCGTGCCGCTCGGAGGTTCAAGGTCAAAGCTCCTCATGATGTCGTCAATGTCAAGGTCCGACATGATGGCGTCAATGTCAAGCTCCGGCGAATCGTGCGCCACGTCCGACGCGAGCGTAGCCGTCTGACCATGGCCTCGGTCGTCACTGGTGGACAGCAGTGGCTCCGTCCGCGGCGGCGCCTGTGGACCGTCGGCTCCCGTCTCCGGCATCTTGCTGTTGGGCGCTCCTCCCAAGTGCACCCCCATCCGGGCCGCGAGCCCCCGTAGGATCCTGAGCGTCCTCTCCGGCGCGCGACCAAACATCTTCTGCCCACGCAGCGTGTCCAGACACGTCCCCAGGCGCTCGTGTGCTGGCGAGCCGGGGGCCGACTGGGCCGCCATGCGCACGTGTATCGTGGCACTGACGTACGCCGCATACGAGATGGAGTAGGGCGTCGTGTCGGTGCCGAAGTGCTGCCTGTACAGCTGCAAGGTGCGGTGGGTGTCGATGGCCGCCGAGGCGCAGTGGGCAAAGGCCTGGCGGGCTGCCGACTCGGATACGGCGCCGAGGTGCCCTCCTGAGACGAAGGGACGGTAAAGCAGAATCATCAACGCATCGTACATGGCCCTTCGTAGCTGTCAGTCATTGGAGCAAGGGGAATCACGAGGATACCTGCTCGGTAGGGTTGAAACTTGCATCAGGGACAGGGTGTGCGGGAGGATCGTCGACGCGGTGGGATCCTCCAGCCGAATTAGTAGATGGACGGGCATACCGGACTTCCACCGCTTCAGCTGGGCGTGGAGAGCCTCCGCAGAGGCCATCAGCTCGTGCGCTGCTGGCTTGGGCATCGCCTCGGCGTACAGGGACAGCATGCGGTCGGTGATGATGCTCAGCCTGCACTGCTGCTCAAACGTCGATAGGCTGTACGAGGGACGGCTGAGCTGCTGCTCCGTCGGGAACCTCGAGCGTCCGCTGGCGTGGAACGGCTCGAGCTCCTGGTACTCGTCCAGGAATCTGATGGGGACGCAGCTGTCCGTCTCGCGCAGACGCGGAGGGTGACCCAGGTAGATGCTCTGGACCTTGTCCATGGCTGATAGCGCAAGGTCAGCAGAAACTTGCCAAGTCCGTCCGGGGCAATCACATACAAAACGCCGCCCAGAACACCCTTCTGCGAATCTCGGTCTCCTCCCAGCCGGTCCTCCTCCTCGGCCTGAAGACGGTGCTCTCGGTGTGCATGCCCAGGTCTATCATCATGTTGATCGAGAGGCCCATGTAATGCCATGACAAGCTGCTCTCGTCGCACCACGTGAAGAGGGCATCAGACATGACCAGCAGGGCCTGGATGGTCGTCACGTCGCTCTTGAAGACCGTACCGGGACGGAGAAGGATTTCGTCAAACCTGCGGCGAAAGCGCTGGCCACGGGGCTCATCGTGGCCAATCTCCGCCGTTTTCTGTGACCCGGAGAACAGCATGGCGTTGAGGAGCAGCTTGGAGAAATACCGCCCACCGTCCGCCGTGGACATGTCCCGCATGAAGGCAGGGCGGTAGACGATGGAGCCCGCATATGTCTGGCTGTCCCAGAACTTGGCCAGCGTCTTGGTTCCCGCATCGGCGTTTAGGCCTTCAAAGTCGAGCTTGCCTTGCGCGGCGTGGATGGGCTCGAGTTGACCTTTGTCGCGTCAGGAGCCGAAACACAAGTCCTCTCCTGCACGCCACACATGCTTGGATGCACCGGATTGGAGCGGACTCACGCTGCTTGGTTGCCTGAGTCAGCAACTGATTCTTGATGAGCTCTTCGTCGTTGCCGCCTACACCCCCAGGGTGTTTGTCAGTTGAGGATAGTTCCGGTGGTCGGCACGGAGGATGGTGGCCGTCGTCAGCATCGTCACGGCGGACAGGCGGGCGGCACGGGGTTCCGGAGGGCCAGGGCGCCGAAGCCAGGGACGCAGATGAGTGGGCATCGTCATTCTCATCGTCAGACAGCCATGAATCATCTCGTCGCGTTGGTAACTGGGGTGGGATGCTATCTGATGACTGTCGGTGCTGCCGCTGCTGCCGCTGCTGTCGCTCATCCAGCATCCCCCGGAGACGCGAGTTCTCCGCTTCGAGATGACGGATCCGGGCGTTAGATGGCCTGATGGGTTCACCTCTGCCGTTAACCAGGCTATTGAACAAGGGAGTGAAGCGGGCCGGAAGGGGTATCCAGATGTGTACCTTGCCCGCTGGACTCTATCAACGTATGCGCACTGAATGTTCCGCGTCTCGCAGGTTTTGCATATAGGCTTTGCACCATCACATCTCAGCTGTTTCATGTTTTGTTTTGATGAATTTGATACCTCGGAGTCAGCGATCACCTCAGACGCGGATGCCCGAGTTGCGAGGTTTTCGTTCAGGCTTACCTTGCGCCTCTGGCAAAACTCACACGCTATCCTGGTTCTCGCTCCTGGCGCTGGCATTGTGGTGTGTACGGATGTCTATGTTCTTTCTAGAGATCTTCTTGCTATGCCGCGCGAATTGCCATTGTAACATACATACAAATGCTCACGGGGGGTGGAAACGATGAAGTGTTGCCAGAGTCAGGTCGGAGCTTGCCGCGTAGTGTACGCCAGACCACATGTATTATAGGATTATGAATCATTGTTACATGCCACAGTGCGGGTACAAAAGCGTAAGCCCGTCGGCTGATAAAGTCGTGATGCGATTTGCGGATAAATGACTAATCGCTCAGCTACGTTGTCAAACTACATGGGCTCTTTACGGTATTGCGGCAGTTGTTCGTGGCATTGGTATATTTGGTATAGGAAGTAGTTGGGTGTACATGGAAGCAGTGGCGGTTCCTATACCGCAAACATTTGACGTCGTTGTTGCCATATCAAATTCATCCGATTCAAGAAAAAAGAGAAGAGAGTAAGAGACCGAGGGGGGGAGAGGACGCATATGTTACTTGAGCTTCACCTACATGTTCCTCGATAGAATATTGCACGCCGTTTATCATGTATCACACCACATAGGTGATTGTCGTAAATAGTTGAGGGCGTATCGTATACTGGATGTACGCATGCAAGACATGTAGCTAGCTACGCCTATACACAGCGCACGATGATGTTGGATGCACCTTCTCGGCCTATAGTGATGATACTATGTCTCTTGTCAACTATCCTGGACAACTGCATGCACTGATTCCCCCCTCGAATTCCTCAACGTTAAACCATAGCGTACATGATGATGAGCTCTCGCTGTCATCTCAGATCATTTTCCATATACATGAGATATTCAGAAAACACCATCGGTGAAGTCTACGACGATGACCTTGGAGATGAGCTCTCCGATGACCTTTTCGAATGCGCTGTGGGCAGGGTCTCTAGACATGTAGTAATCGCGATCCTCAGTAGAGCTGAACTCTAGAACAAACCCGTGAGTAATTCCGTCCTATTGCCGGCGAGGAGAGAGAGGAACAAGAGAAGATAGAGTAAGTGCGTGCGCATGAAGCTACGTCGAGTACATTCGAGGAAGTGTTCATACCTGGAGTCCTGCTTCGGAGTGGTCTTTTCCTGCCTTGAGAGAGAGGAGATACGGAGAGTTGGATGTAGGATGGATGCATTGGTTTCTCAGCTCGACGAAGCGAGCGCAAGCGTCCTTGATCTTGTCGGCGTCGGTATCGGCCTTGAACTGGAGGAACACTGTGTGGAAGAGGGTCATGGTTGCGGCCTGTATTGAATGGTTGGAGGTGGCGATATACAAGTAGTCAGACGAAGTTGCTAGTGGGACGGAGATGATGAGAATGTTGAGTGAAACATCCTGAGAGAAGGATAAGCATGTTTCTTTTTGAGGAAGAACGAAAGTTATATCACGGTGTAAGGTGGAACAACCCTCCATGGATCTGTAATAGTGATACTATGGAGAAGGTTGTGATGAACTCTCTTGTCGGTGACATGTACGTGCAGTGTGACGATAAATGTCAGCTTGTTTCATACTCTAGATTGCTTCCGCGCTAACCTGTCAGCTGTCCCCGTCACTAATAGAACGATAGGAACGTTTTATATTATGCCACCGTGTTGCTATGCATGCATGTAGTCCACTTTGACTCTCCCGTCTCTAGAGGCTTGTAGAATACTACCCTCCCTGATGCAGACACTTGTATGTGACATTATACTTGAAATCATCATGTAAGAAAACGAGAG